ATCATCGCACATCTCACCACAAGCTAGAGTTCGTTCCACACTGCTCGAGCTACTGCCCAAGCTCAGCCAAACCGACCATGTGCCAAAACGAGAGGAAGAACCAAAGCCAAAGAGAGATCTCAACACTGACGCCCGATTGTCCTTTTAAGGTTGCCCCAGCCAAAACCAAGGAACATCGGTTGATTAATAATATACGGTTTGTGGCTGTAGCTGGTGCTTCTTGGACTGTGCACCACTCCTTGCAGCATCACTGCCAGGTAGGCAGGGCCCTGCCAGGCCCGGCTTCATAGAGAACTACCACAGAACCACAGAATACACGAGCTTCTCCACAGCCTGGCAAACATTCCCGAGAGCTTCTGGCTGCTGGTGACGGAGGCGAGTTTGAGAGCATCCGGGGACCTCAACTAAACTAAAGAAACGCAAGGAAGAAAGGAAGGTGTTCGCATTTTCATCCACCCGAGATCCTGCTCTACGTGAGTGCAAAACAGGGACTTGCTGAGTCTTGCAAGACCCCTCTGCAAGTGGCCTTCCCTCGAACAGGTGGCAAGAAGTTTTGGGAGAGAAGGGAAGAGGAGCCTAGGTACCCGACCGGCCAGTCGCGGGAACAAACCCACTTGGCGTAGAGCCGTTGACAGCAAACGTGGGCAGCTTGGGAAACAGATGACTGAGGTGACGCAGGCTGCAGCATATGGAGGGTAAAATGTTGACGTCCTGGAGCGTGGAAGATATGTGGCTTAGGGTTTCGGCATGGATTCGATGAGTGCGTATGAGTTTTTTGTTTAAGGGTCGTAAAGGATTTTCAGTATGGGCCTGTAGTATGGATCCTGAGAGCCCTACTTTTTTACTTAGTTCGGATTTTTCCATCTCAACGGGCCCTCATCACCCTAGGCCCTAGACAGGCCAAGGTCCTATGTTAGGGGCCCATACAGGTAACCTCACAGTTATGAGTGTTTTGGGGGAATTGGGAATGGAGATCCCACCTTGCGGGATAGACTGGAGTGTTTTCTTATCCACCCGGTCCCATACCCTTTGCCGGGTCTTGCAGGGCCCTTATCTCCATACCCTTATCAGATTGCATTGCGCAAGCTGTGAGTTGCGATCAATTCATACAGAGGGTCTGGATTAAGAATGCTTACGCTCGATGCCAGAGACCGTTTGTGTAATGGAAACCCCTTTGGGTGCTTCGCATAGTTTTGGTCACCCATCAGTGGCCGACAGCAGCTACCCTGGCAGCAAGGAGGGACAGCGCCTGGTGGGCGCCAGATTCCCGCAAAGGGCAGAGCGGAGGAGGAGTATAGGGGCTAAGTAGGGGTGACGAGAAGCTGGAAACGCACGCGCCGTGGACCAAGCCGCAGTGGAAGAAGAAGAAGTAGTAGTAGTAGTAGTAGTAGTAAGACGAAGAAGAAGTCAGTTCACTCTCTCCGAAGCCGAGATCAGAAGAGAATGTGCAGCGTAAGCGTTTGGTCTTCGAGGGCCACGCAGGGAATGTTCCAAAGGATCTCCACAGAGATCAGAAACCGGACATGCCAGGCCTCCAGTGGCAGAAGGCATGCCAGCTACTGACTGCAATGAGCGGTGAGGGCTTGTTTCCCGGGGTGCGCGGCTTCAGCGCAGCGCTCAGCGCCTGTGCTACTTTGAATGCACTGGTAGATGGCGGCTGACATCGCTCACCGCAAAGCAAGCCGAGGAAAAATGCAGTGAATGGGTGGCTGCACTGTCGTTGTTGGTGGGCATGCAAAGTGAGGAGGTCGCGCCCAATGCGGTGAGTTGCCTCTTGGCAGCAATGAGCTGTAGGGAGCTTCGGAGCTTTTGAGCTGGAGCGTGAGGCAGTGCGGCAATGGCTGCCTGCTCCAAAGCCGGGCGCCACAAAGAAAGCTGGGCCTTGCTGGAGTCTATGGAGGCACCCGGAATCATAGCCGACAAATCTGTCGCTGTGATTACTTGACATACATTCCAGAAGGGCTCTGGAAACGGCAAGGCCTGGCAGATTTCTCCAGATGTGGCCGCCTTTGGCGCAGTCGCCTGTTCTGTAATTCCTTAGCAAGCGAGGCCACAGCTAGCAATAACCAGCACTGCCTTGCACAGCGGAATGTTGCTCAGTTGCACATCAGTGTGTCTCCGTAGCAAAGCCGTCCTTCAACTGAGGTATGCAATGCACTGACCCCAAGCGATTGGAAGATGGTACTGCAGGTGTTTCAGCGCATGGAGCTGCAAGCCCTTGAGCCCGATGCAGCCCTGTGTGCAACTGCTCTGGAAGTGTGTGAAGTACAGCCTACGGCTCTGCAGCTTGCTGCGCTACCACGGCGCACCCTTGACTGCGCAACGGCACAGCTCCGGCGAGTTGGGGACATTCTGCGAAGCAGCAAGAGGGATTTGCAGCAGGTTGCTCTGAAGAAGGACTGCCAAGCTTGAAGCGCGTGGTTTTCAGCGTTGCAGTAGCAGGTTGTCGAAGCGTTCAAGCTTCCTCTGCCAGGCCCGATGGGTCACCCATCCTACGTCCTGCGTACTTCTGGTCGATTTGCAACGCTGGAGTTGTGGCTTCATCCTTGCAGGACTTGGCAATGGCTGCGGTTGCGATGGACGCGCTTGAAGCTCTTGATGTCTGCCGGGGCGAGGCATGGAGTGGAGCAGCATGCAGTATCGAAACATGGCCAAGAAAGGTCCTCAGAGGTCAGCCAGCATGAAACTGCACGAAGTTCGGCCTGAGGTGGCGGCTGCCTTTGCTTCCATAGGAGACGTGGCAAGACGCGGCCTTTTGGGCCATGCTGCCGCACTGCCCCTGTCGTGGATGCCGAACCTGGGGCCCTGCACTCAGGATGTTGGTACAAGTGAAGCAAGGACAAATCGCAGCATCAGCATCTTTGCATTGCTATGGCTTGCGCAAGCTGAGGAGCAGTTACACACGGCATGTACTGGAGGTGGCCTGTAAGTTTCGGACAGAGTTTAGTCGTAACAACGCAGGTGGCCTTTCATGACCTGCAGGATTGCCATATGCAGGGACCAGCTTGCTGGATGGGAGCTGCACGCAGAGAGACAAGGCGCGAGACACGCGCTGCTCGTGGAACGCTTGTTTTGGGCGCGATGCTTGAAAGCATTCGCCTGCAACCGCTTCTGAACTTCTGGACTGACTTGAGAAATTGCCCTCTCCAGCTGAGGAAGTCACTTATTGCCTGGGCGAGTGCTTGGTTTGCCTGTATGAAGGCAGCTGCCGGATGGGCTTCCATTCCCCAGATTTCCCCTTACAGGTTTGTGGTCAAGCTCTGCATCCACAGTATCCTCCTGATATGCACTTGCAGGGGACCTTGTCACGTAGCATCGGGTACAGCGACCCTGGTGGCCGGGGGCGCCACGTGCTTCCTGCGGCAGCTTGGCAGCATGCATCGTACGTGCAACAGGTTTGCTATTGACTGGCTGGCATTGGCTAATCCCGGTGTTTCAGGTTCGTGCAGAGCATGACCGGTCTGGCCATGCGGAGCGCCAGGCTCTGTGGCTCGACTTCCCAGAGAAACTTCAGCCATCAGCTGGCCCCGCTTTTCATTCAGCTGTCGTTTGCAAGACATTTTTGAAAAAGGGGGCAGCTTCATAGCCATGCTGAATTCTGTATGCGCCGGAACGAGGTTGTCGCTTCTTCTCGGTCTGCATCGTTTGACCTACATGCGGAGAGATGACAAAAGCAACTTTCCATGCATGATGCACCTGCTGCCCCTGTGTACCATGTGTATGGTGCGCATCCTTGCAAAGCTCCGCCCTCTGCGATACGCGAGCTACAACTCACCAGATTTGTGAAAGGTCGCAAGCAGCTTGTCCAGGCACGACTGCTAATTGACGCCAAAGGCCGGACCATCTCTGCTGCAAAACCTTTTGCTTATCAGGATTTAACTAGCAGCCAGCCACCTGGAGGTTTGGGGATGCAAGTGCTGCGTCACCGCAATCTGATCAAGCAGATGATGTATCTCGGTACAGATGGTCTAGCGTAAGTTGTCAGCTCCTTCGTGCATCATTGACAAATGCAGAACCAATCATAGCTGAGTTCCACTGGGAAGAACAACTTCCCGGAGGCGCACAGCAACCAGCTGTATGGACAGGTTGCCCAAAACTGGGCTGTGATTGTCAGAGGGCAATGAGCATGACCAGCGCAACGGCCAGGTGAACTACTCTGTCACCATCATCCGCGCTCCGTTCGTATTTGCTAAGCTGTGGGGCCTAGCTAAGAGCCATTTGACACCCGCCATGCAACGTGGCGACAGCAAGCAGGTGAGATCACTGAGATCACATCTTTCATCGGGCCATGATAGAGCATCTAAGGCAGCGGAAGATTTGCATCCTGGGAGATGATTTTCGGGGCGGCTTGCAAGAACACGCGGGGCTGGATATCTCCATGCTGCCCGAGTTCCTTGGAGGATGCACCTACCACACATGTTGCCGCATTACATGTCCATGCGGTCAAGCGAGTTACTTGTGTTTTCCGTTTTCACTTGCGAGGACAAGGCACCGGCCAAGAGCTTTGCGAGGTGAGAAAGGTCCCATTGCATCTTGCAGAGGTCCTGGCCTCAGCGCTGGAAAGATGCATAGCTGCATAACCATAACCAGCCCATGTTCCATGACTGCAAGGCTGGAGTTGGCACTGGCTGAGATGCACCATGCGCTAGCAGCACATCTCGATTGATTAGTGCGAGCTGTCAGAAAAAGTGAACCAATCCACAGCATGCTTCTGCCGCCTTCATTTGCTGTAGGTGCTGCCTGCCATAGTTTCTCGCTAGGTGCTAGCTAGCTTTCGTTATCGTTCATTCTTCCGGTTGCAATTCTGCACATGCTTAAGCGAAGGGGCTTTCAAATCCCTTCGTGCGCGGGGCCGCGCCCGCCTTCACCTGCGTCGTTTACTGTAGTCAGCGCAGGCATATCGCACTACCCAGGAAAAGGGACTTGTTCTCCTGTCCTGCGGAAAGCCCGTGAGGCCAGCGCACCCTGGTACTAGCGTCTACTAGCACTGACCCAACAAGGTGGACCTTCGCTGTGCAGACCGGGGCAGCGTACCATCCGCTACGCTCCAGGCATGCTGACAACCGACAAGTTGAGTTGCTTCATGAAGCTCCACCTGTCAGTCCTTTGTTCGGCGTGCTGATGCGCCGCTTCCCCAGTATAGAGTGCTAGGTACAATGCTCCTCCATGCCAAGCAGGAAAGTTGCCCGTGCTCTACCCCCAAGATTTCGACAACAACTGCTGAATTCCAATGTTTTGAAGTAGGACCCCACCTCCGCCTTTTTGCGTCACTTTGCGCATCTTCTCAGGATATGCAAGCCCCAGGTCCACGGTGAAAGACATACAGTACTGCTATGGTGGAGAGGCGCCGCATAACCAGAAGGTCCCGCGTTATTATATATGCTAATCGGAAATTGCCAGTCAGTTTTCTCGAGATGCTCCAATTCAGTCTCCACAGCCTGAAACAGCATAGCGAGCATAGCATAGACCCTTTGCATCGGCAGCTTTCTCGGAAAACGCTTGATGCGAAGACCTGAGCGACATAAAAGTGTACTGCTGACCTTGCCCGGCGTTCTGCGAATGGTGCTACGGCATGGACTGCCGATCTGCCGCCGCGAGACTTCAGATTGCCCAAGGCCGGCCGACCCTAAGCGCTTCATCACTTAGTGGAGTCGTCCATTTACTTTCTAGCACCATCGCCTCCTGTACGAACTGCTTGGCCGACATGCCTGCCACATGCGGAAGCTGCATAATTCTTGTTGCATATCCGGCTCGCAGACATGTTGAATGCATCGAAGCGCCTTCTCGCAATGGAGGATTCTCTGCCCACACTATTGAAAAGTCAGCATGAAGAGGTCCTAATTCGTTTGGACACATTGATTTCAAGGGTGGGGCATCTGCTCGACAGCAGAGGTGACGAGCTGCCTACAGCATACTTCAACACTCTCGACGTCAGCATTGGCATCGAACAGCAGAACTCAGCAAGTTCTGTACCCAGCGGACACTCGCCGGCATTGCTGGCTCCCGAGGCTCCAGCTAGTGCAGACTACACACCGATAGCCACGCCAGCTGGATCAGGGCAGGTGACACCAAAGCGGCGACGGGCATTTCATGAGTATGAGTATCAAGAGGCGAAGGAGCAGGGGCAACGAGTGGAATCAATCAAGCGGCAGTCTGCTGATGCCGCCCAGAAGCTGGAGTCAGGCTCGACCACACAGATTTGCTCCTTGGTTCGGTTCAAGCTCATACCTCCTTATAGGTTTAGCGGTTGTGCTCATGCGGCTAGAACTTTCTTGCAGCCACTAAGGTCAGCATTGGGCTCGCATCGTCTCCTCATCCACATTGTTCAATGTAGCAGTTGCCGTAGTGATCCTTTCCAATTCAATTTTTCTTGGTGTGCAGCTTCAAGTCAGCGCCTACGAATCCGACGACGCTATCGCAAGAGGCTTCCTGTTTGGTCACTTTTGTTATGCCCTCTTATTCACAATGGAAATGATCGTCCGCCTCGTGGCTGTGGGAACTCGTGGTTTTCTATGCGGCCCTGACTATGCGTGGAACTGGCTTGACGTTTGTATTGTCATTCCTGCCTGGATTGAGCTGATTGTTGACTTTATCGACTTGCAGACTCTTGGTGCTGGAACTTCCAACGGCAATTTCCGTGTGATTCGTGTGTTTAGAATCACGCGTGTGCTGCAGGTGGTGCGGTCTGTCAGACTGGTTCGCTTCATCAGCGCTTTCCGCGAGCTAGTTATTTCGGTCCTGGATACCGTGCGACAGCTGGTGTGGGCAATGGTCTTGCTCATTTTGGTGATTTATAGTTTTGGCGTACTCTTCGCAGATGCCGCATTACAGCACCTAGATGCTGCAGGCTACCCGGCAAGTGCCGATTCAAGCCTTGATCGGTTGCAATTTCATTTTGGTGGCGTGTACGACTCCTGCACAACTCTATTCAGGACACTGCTTGCAGGATTTGATTGGATAGAAGCGGCCGATGCTTTGGAGCCAATGGGGATCATGTGGGTCCAGCTCTTTCACGTGTACGTGGCGTTTGGAGATTTTGCTTTGCTTAACGTAATTACAGGAGTATTCGTGAACAGTGCTATAAAGACCAGGGAGCGGGACCATGAAGTTCTCATGCATCACGTGCAGGCATTCAGAATGCTTGTTGAAAATTTGTGGAAGAAGATTGATTCATCAGGGCAGGGCCAGATCACCATCTCCGAGTTTGAGGAGCTCTTCAACGACGAGGACATGGTTGCATTCTTCGCTGCCATTGAGGTCAGTGCCGTCGACGCTTGGACGCTCTTTGACAGCTTAGATGCTGATGGCGACCATCTCATCAGCTATGAAGAGTTCTCACAGAGATGCCTGCAGCTGCATGGCTCTGCAAAAGCTGTCGACTTGTTCGCGCTCAAGCAGCAGGCCAGACCCAGCACCTGGTAGCGTTTCCCATGTTTTTTCCAACCTCGGCCCTGCAAAGAATTGGTCACATTCTTCCCTCCTTTCCACTGTATCATTCCTTCCTTGCAAATCTCGAAGCAGGCCGACAAGCTGCAGGATCAGTTGGATCTGCTTGTCAAAGAGCAAGCTCGCACCACCTCCTGCCTGGCAGCTTTGGTCCGATCTGAAGATGCGTTGAGTCGGCAAGCACGCAGGAATCAGGTGGATAAGAACATAGGAAGGATCCAAGATAGCGACATTGTATGGACTGCTTCTGGCGACCAAGTCGAGGTAAAGATGTGAACCTTGCAATATAGTCACCGTCGTCAGAATGCGAATGCGATTTTGGACACCTGCCGGTTAGTGCCGGCTGGGATTGACTTCTAGCTTCTTTCTCTGTTAAAACATCAGAGAGCTGCAGGCATGCCTAAGGCATCTTGCGACGTGTGCTGAGCTTCTAAAGCCACCTTTTAATCGCCCAGACTCTTGAAGCTTTTGTGTATTTTGCTGCAAAAGCTTGCGCGAAGAGGTTGTATATCTTCAAGGCCACAGGGCATGGAGTCAGGGAGTCTTCTTTTCGGCATTGAGTCAGATCTTCGCAGCATTGGTTTGCAAGTTTGCGAGGTCGTGAGGGACGTAGCACCTTAGTGCTTTGCCTTGCCCGCTTTGCCCTGCCAGTCACCTTGTACTTTGCTTGCTTTGGACCCTCTCTGGAGGTCGCCGAGTACGCTTTGGAGGCAGCCTTTCAAGTTCGCGTGACATGCACCATTTGCGGCCAACATGTTTCAGGAAACATAATCCACGGCTCCCCTCGCAAAGCGGCTACGCAAATTAGACTGATACTCAAAGGCGGTGCAGTCATTTCTGGCAAGAGGCTTCGGAAGGCGCGAAGCCAAGCAGAACGACAACCCTTGCATTCCTCCAATCATGCCTGTCAATCATGAGAAACAAAGGCAGAGACAATATGCTGATACCAGATTTGACCCCATGTCTCTTTGCAGGAAAGGATCAATCAGATAGGGAGACGTAGGCCCTACGCCCCAAACCGGGCCCCACAAATAAGTGTCTACGGAACCTTGCAAACCATTGTTGATTCGATCCTTTCAATTGTGGATGGCTGCAGTTCCCGATGCAGGCCAACCAATTCCCGATTCAGATATAGCGTGGTGTGCCAAAGCTTTCTGCAAAAGAAGATGTATGCAGATGTAGTTTAACTGAGGCAAGGCTGGGTTGAAGCAGGGACCCTTAGGTTACCCATTCAGTTGCTGGCCTCTCATCAACATGCTGCAAATAATGCCTCAGAAGAGTGGCACAGTACAGACATGCTCAGGGCGTGCCCTGAGTAAGCACCACTGCTGTCACAGACAGCCGACTAGGACCGAGTCTTAACTCTGGGCTGCAAATTTTGCCAACTTGTGCTCCAAAGTCGAAAAAGGCGAAGCGATGGAGTTGGTAAAGCTTTGCTTGGCTTGCCCAGCGGAAGTTGAACCTGTCCACCCCGAGGCTTCTTAAAGCTGCAACCCAACCACTTTGTGCATCTCGCCTCCTAGCGCTGAGCGACAGGGCCTTACTCGTAAATGGCAGCCAGACACGGCAAGGTGGCCTTTCTGGCAGATGATCTGTATGTGCGTATGTTATGCGTGCTTCAAGTCCGTGGAGCTGAGGCAAGGCTTGTTCTTCTAGCTGAGCTAGCGTCTCAGAGAAGATCAGTGGCTGCCTAGTGCCAGACTTTATTGGGGCTTGTTGTGTGGAATTTTGCGTTCAGCCAATTTCAGCAGTACACACGGACGGCCATGGGGATAGCTGATGATGGCTAAACTGAACTTCGCTTTGTCAAAAATGTGTGAGCACCTGGAGGATACCTTGGTATGCGGCAAGTGGCGCGCGTGCAGAGGCCGGAAGGCTAGCCCCCATGAACGCGCAAGGTTTTTTTGGTTGACTCAAGTCGAAGTGAAGATTATGACCTCACCTTGGTGAATTATGCCGAAGCCTGAACGCCACCGCTGTCCAAAGAAACGACAAGCGGTGGGCCTCAAGGTGACGAAGCCCACGCATGACATGAAGTAGGAGCAGCGTGCTCAGTCAGTATACTTATGACATAACGCCGACAAGTACCTTTGTGAAGGCGAAGCTGCGGCAGATGTGCACAGACTTGCCACATAGTGCCACAGAGTGTTCTGAGCCATGGAAATTCCGCAGAGAGCGGAACTCCTGGAATTCGCCCAGCGCCGATCCTCGGAGGTTCTGATCTTGGGTGTCTTCCTGCTGGTCCGGGTCTTATCATCGGTGCTTAGTGCCAGCACAACCTGCTTTTTGAACGGCTTTCAGGTCATGACCTTTCCAAAGGATCTGGTTGGCACCGTCCAGCTTATCTCTTGCCTGGTATTGCTTGTCATTGGAAATCCTTGGTACTGGACCGGGGACGTGTTTTCGGCCAGCGCAGGCACTTGCTGTCCTTGCAGCATTACAGCTTTCCCACACTTGATGCTGAAGGGGAAGTATGAACATAGGAACATGCTGCAAGGTTACATGCACTCAAAGATCTTGTTTTGTTGTTCCTGACGTGAACACCAAACACCTCCTTGATTCTGACTTTGTTCCTCCCAATTTTGCAGCAGCTGAGATTGCAGCTTTAACAATGCAAAGGTCTGCCCCAAGACCCTGAAGCTCCTCTCCAAGTCAGCCTTTCCAGCGCCGGAGTACTACCGTAGAATGAGGAACAACATGATCGCGTTTCGGACACACATCCATCAAGGAGAATTGCTTGTTGCAGCTGAACCTTTGCCCACTCTGGGGTGAGGTCAGAACTTGATACCTGACTGTCAGCAGAGCTCAATAGAATGTACCATACTGGAAGTCTTGAAGCACTGAACAAAACAACACCAACTCCATTCTGGGTACAAAGCACCTTATATCCTTTTTGTCAGTGCTGACCTTTCCCTACAAGACTGGGCATACGTGCTTACCCTAGAAAGACAGAAGGAAATCAAGCAAGCGATTGAATGCCTTTCGGTGTTTTTCTTTTCGTGGGCATGGGTAGTGCTGCTAATTGAAATCCGATGCTGTTGCCCTTCTCGTGCAAGCGGAAGAAAGGAGGGAGGGAGAAGGAATCCAGGGCAGGCAAAACCAGTCCAGGAACGAAAGGAATAACATGAAGAAGGATAAGAGTGACAAGAAGAAGAAGTGTAGTGACCCTTGGTGTGTTAGTTTATAATCCGGTGGTTGGGGCAGGTGGCAATGCCTAGTCTGCTGTATTGTCATGACAACCCCATCACTGTGTAGAGGGCCCAGGCCATAAGAGTTGGGCGGTGATGGAAATTTCACAGCTGGGATCAGAAGCGGTGATGTTCATACGTGGGAGCGGAGGGGACTACGGTTTCTGAGTAGATATGTGAGCAGGGCCCCGGGTATCAAGTATGTTTCTTCTCCGTGTCCCCGCATATGATCAGCAGCCGGGGCCTGACACAGTGCTCGCAATCGGACCGTCCATCCTGCTTAGGGCGTTGCCCCGGCCCCTCCCTAGTGGGGGGTAGAGCAGTGACAAGAAGAAGAAGAGGTACAGGTAAAGGGAGCAAGCCATTGAAACTGGCAGGTCTTGCTTTGGTGGCCCAGCTCTTTGCTCACCTGGATCTGATCCGATGGCCACCTGACCAGGACAAGTTGCCCTTGCGTCATGCTCGTGACATGGTCTGCGATTGAGACTCGCTGCAGACGACGCATGCGTGCAAGAGCACTTGGACATACTTGGACAGTGTGGATGTTGAACCGCCTCATGTCATCTTTGGTTTCAATTTCGCATTTGAACCGTCCCATGAAGGCCAACCGCTTGTAAAGCTGGTTGCACCAAGAACACGAAAAAGCGTAGCTATCAGCCACTTTTGGAAGTTGGAGACAGCAGGGTTTGCAGCTCTCACCAGGAGGAGGCCAAAGCGTACTGGGGCTTGTCCAAGGACCTCGGTGTGGACTCTTCGTTGCAAAGAGTCAGCAGGGTCATGCTGCGATGGTCCTGCTACATAATTGCGTGTGGCTTACTGAACAACTTGCGCAAGCTTCTGAACAAATATTGGGGCAGGTTTGTCGACAGCTCTTCATCCTCATCCTGGCCAAGGTCTATACCATTTTGCAATTCCATGCCGCGGCTGCAAAGGATGCCTGCGCAAGGGCGAGAGCAACTCGGGTCCTGACGGCAGCGCTAACGCTCGACCTGGGATCATTAGAAGGCCTTGTCAATCTCTGGCCTTGCACTGTCTTGTGTTGGGCATGCATGATCATGCATGGATTGCACATGACGACAGGTGGCCGTTCCGAGCCTGAGCTGCCTGCGGAGCAGAGTGGCTTGTCATGCATGATGTCTATAGAGTCCTTAGACAGCTCAGGACTCGTGAGACTTATGCCGCAGTTTAAAGACTGGACAGGTGAAGACCTGCCAGAAGCCTGGCACGATGCCCTGAGGCCGTGATCTAATGTTTCAAACTGCATGAGAAGCGAGGTGCTTTGGCCTGGCAGGACTTGCCTAGATTCTTTGAATGCATGGAAGCAGGTCGCACATGGACCCGGTGGCAGAGATGAAAATGCTGCTGTTGGCGGCACCACAGCTCGGTGCTGTTGCAATTGTCTTAGTGGCCACGGCGGAACAGACGGTTTGGTGCCACTTAGCAGCACACAAGCTTCAGCTCACACGTGGGAAGCGCGCTATAGACTGAACTGATGCAAACAAGTTGCATTCAGACGGCGCTAGGCAGCAGTTCTTGAAGTGGTGAGGAAGGGAGCACCTGAGGTTTGCTGCCTCTGACTGCTGTAGCTGCCTTCTATTTCAGCGGCGACATGATCCACCCACCAACAACGCCGGGGAGATTGCCTGCTCGAGCCAAGCTGTGGATGAAGGCGCGGTGCCGGAAAAGCTTGTTTTTGTTTGATTAAACCGGCAAAGCAAGGTGATGTCAGGAGGGCTCTTCCTCGCTTTGCTTTGCGAAGTTTGCGTGGAGCTCTGGCTTCCGCCTGGACTGGGAAGTCCGAAGCCTGGACCAGAAATGATCGCGGACTGGCCAGCATGCCAGAACTACGATCCGTGGCAACCAGATCTGTCACGAGACTTGAAGGGACGTCCATGCATACCTGGCTCTCCAGATGCTTGCCGTGAGTTAGCCTTTTTTCTTAGACCGCGCGTTTGCAGTAGCATCTGAGCACGTGCTGAGCAGCTTGGAGGCATGTATGACGCAGCGAGAGCGGTGTGGACGAGACTTTATCAGTTGGCTTTGTATCGAGCAGGGCCTCTCAGTCCCCTCCTTTCTAATCCTCTTCGCCTTATGCTGGGTCTTGCGAGCTGAGCAGCAGTGGACAGCAGCCCCGGCCAGAAGTGAGACAGAGCAGGCCGCTCAGCCTGAGAGGCCGCAGTGGAGGAGAACTCTGGATAATGTATCTGACCGAGTCCGCCAGCAGGTGGGTAGTTTAGCAAGTCTCGGAACTACGAACCTGAAGTTGGTGATCCTCCTCATATGCACGCTCTTCACGTCTGCCTCCCTTCTGGCGGCATTCATTCTCCAGCCGTACTTCAATGTTGTGCAGATGGGGTATTTGTGGTTTACCCTGGTAAGTGCAAGCTCAGCAAGCAATGCGACGCTTTATTACGATCCAGTCAAAGCCCTAGTTTGGCCAGCGCAGGCCATTGGAACTTTCAACATGATAGTCATTGTGGCGTTGACGGTAAGCCAGACCCCAGTTTTCCCTTGTCCGCACCCCATGCGTCTGGCTGAAGCCGGCGTGGAAAGCGCTATAGTCCATGTGTCCAGATTCGTGTCTCGAGAGCAGTGCCGCTACCTCTTCCACTCGGGGTCTTTATCGGACATGGCCTCAGCAAGCGATTCCTGGAGACTTGGGGCGCTGTTTCAGAGCTCCTCGGCCTTGGCCCTGATTCGCTGCTCATCTTCTGCAGACATCTACTGTAGACCACTTCTGCACTGAGGCTTGGGAATGATGAAAACCGGTGAAGACATGAGTGCCCAAGATCTAATCCACTGGGTGGTCTTCACGGCGTGTCTGGTTCAAAGAATCCTCCTTGCTCGGTGGCACGAAGAGTTGCGACAACATTTTGAAAAGAGGAAGCAGCATCTTCATTTTCGTGCTCGGTGGTATGCTGAAAAGCTGGCAGCGAGCAGGCAGATGCAGATCTCTATGTGGGATACCAAGCGACAGGCAGGATTGGAAAAAAGTCGTGTAGCCAAAGTTGAGTACAATCGGGTCATTGCAGAGTAAAGTGCGGCGCCAAAAAGAGCTTGATTGCCAGGTCCTTCTGAACAAGTTGTCCAGACTGACCGATCACCTGAACAACTTGCGCTCCATATGGGATGGACAGCGAGCAGCATTCACGGAAGAAGAGGCATCTACCTACCACAGCATTGCAGTGCAATCCTAGAAAGCTCCGCTTTGCATCCTAATCAATCTCAAATCTCAACCCTGAGGAGGAGGCGAATCAATCAGCCGCTCGTGTTGAAAATATCTGCCTGCAGGGCGGTGTGCCAGAACAGCTGGCGGGACGGGAGGAAAATGACCCAACACATCTTTCGTAGCTTTGCACTCGATGTACTGCCCCCTGAAGGGACACTTCATTTGAATGCTGGGGAAGCCGGGCATGCAGTGTCAGTACCTTGACGAGCCCTGTAGGTGCGCAGTCTGCTGGAGGAATTCACTCGAGCCTGCACAGGGGGAGACGAGCGCTTGCTGGAATCCCTGACACCACAGCAGAGGTGCTCACTGATCTCACTGCGGATCGGGATGGTTTACAAGAGTAAGACCTTGCATTTGTTGGCCAGGAGCTTCGCGCAGTAGAGTTCCTATTGTCCAACCAATCAGTGTGAGCTGGTTTCCAGTTGTGTGCGCGCTGTGTTCTTGAGCTGT